TTAACAGAAACATGTGACAGCAATGCCATACTTATACTGAACACCAACATTTGACATAGCAACACCAACAGAAATGACACTCTTATACTCAGCACACACATGTGACATAGCAATGACACTCTTATACTCAACACCATCACGTGACATAGCAATGACACTCTTATACTCATCACCAACATCTGACATAGCAATGACATACTTATACTCAACACCAACACGTGGCATAGCAATGACACTCGTATACTCAACACCAACATGTGACATAGCAATGACACTCTTATGCTCAGCACCAACATGTGACATAGCAATGATACACTTATACTCAGCACCAACATTTGACATAGCAATGACACACTTATACTCAACAAAAACAGAAATGACACTCTAATACTCAGCACACACATGTGACATAGCAATGCCATTCTTATACTCAACACCATCACATGACATAGCAATGACACTCATATACTCAACACCAACATGTGACATAGCAATGACACTCTTATGCTCAGCACCAACATGTGACATAGCAATGATACTCTTATACTCAGCACCAACATGTGACATAGCAATGACACACTTATACTCAACACCAACAGCAATGACACTCTTATACTCAGCACCAACATGTGACATAGCAATGACTCACGTATACTCAACACCATCATGTAACCTAGCCATACCACTCTTATACTCAACACCAACATGTGACATAGCAATGACACTCTGATACTCAGCATCAACATGTGACATGGCATTGACACTCTGATACTCAGCATCAACATGTGACATAGCAATGACACTCTTTTACTCAACACCATCATGTAACCTAGTCATACCACTCTTATACTCAACACCAACATGTGACATAGCAATGACACTCTGATACTCAGCATCAACATGTGACATATCACTGACACTCTGATACTCAGCATCAACATGTGACATGGCATTGATACTCTGATACTCAGCATCAACATGTGACATAGCAATGATATTCTGATACTCAGCATCAACATGTGACATAGCAATGACACTCTTTTACTCAACACCATCATGTAACCTAGCCATACCACTCTGATACTCAACACCAATATGTGACGTATCAATGACACTCTGATACTCAGCATCAACATGTGACATATCAATGACACTCTTACACTGCTCACAAACATGTGACATAGCACAATGCAAACAAAAAAATACAGACATGGCTTATTAAAGTTCTTCACTTATACTCAACACAACATACGCCATTGCTATATTACCATAATATTATTCTGAATCAACACAAAATACTGTTAATCAGACAGGTTTAATGGACAAAAAATATTTGTTAGAATTATATTAAGTGGGGTCTCATTTTTCCTGTCTCATTAATCTGACTTAGAAAATATAACTCTTTTTTATTTTTCTTGAAATTATTTTTTTTTAACTTTGATCATTCATCATTGTTAATCAGACAGATTTGATAAACAACAACAAATATTTGTTAGAATTATATAAAGTGGGGTCTCATTTTATTCGTAACACAGAACTGAATCAGATAGTAAAGGTTTTATTTTATTTCCTGACAAAAAACTATTTTGTAAACATTTGATTTTAATGAGAAGTTGATGAGAAAAAGTTGTGTTAACATCTTTAGTCAGATGATGTTAATTCTGCAGATCTAATGTAAAACATCTTTTAAAAATAATAAATATTTGACAGAATTATATAAAGTGGGGTCTTATTTTTCCTGTCTCGTCGTACTGAATCAGAAAATATTACTCGTTTTTATGTTTCTTGAAAAAAAAAATTTTCCACTTTGATCATTCTACTTAATCATTGTTAATCAGACAGATTTAATGGACAACAAATCTTTGTTAGAATTATATAAAGTGGGGCCTCATTTTAATTGTCTTGTCCAGCTGAGTCCATTGATATAAATATTATTTAATTTTCTAGAAAAAAGTTTTTTTTTTAACCTGACAGTTCTGATGGAAGTTCTGACATCTCACAATAAAACATGTTGTTTATTTGTTGTTTATGTAGAATATAAATACAAGTGTGACTGGTCATTTTATTCAGTTTTGACCACTGATTCATGTGATATATATTTTGTTTATATTTATTACACAACATTGTCCAGTTTATGACACAAGTTTTGATGTCTGTTATATGTTGATAATACAGGGAGGAAGAACACCATTAATGTTGGCTGCCTGGAGAGGACACCTGGAGGTGGTGACGTACCTGGCCACTCACGGCAGTCAGTTAGAAGTCACAGACATGGTAATGATAGATATAATCTACTTACTCTGACAAAACTTCACTTTATACAGAATCTACACAAAATCATGTTGTTAATCAGACAGGTTTAATGGACAACAAATATTTGTTAGAATTATATAAAGTGGGGTCTCATTTTATTCGTAACACAGAACTGAATCAGATAGTAAAGGTTTTATTTTGTTTCTTGACGAAAAATTATTTTGTAAACATCTGATTTTAATGAGAAGTTGATGAGAAAAAGTTGTGTTAACATCTTTAGTCAGATAATGTTAATTCTACAGATCTAATGTAAAACATCTTTTAAAAATAACAAATACTTGACAGAATTATATAAAGTGGGGTCTTATTTTTCTTGTCTCTTCGTACTGAATCAGAAAATATAACTCGTTTTATTGTTTCTTGAAATTTTTTTTTTTTTAACTTTGATCATTCTTCAGAATCAACATAAAATCATATCGGACAGTTTAATGGACAACAAATACTTGTTAGAATTATATAAAGTGGGGTCTCATTTTAATTGTCTTGTCCAGCTGAGTCCATTGATATAAATATTGTTTATGTTTCTTGAAAAAAGTTATTTTTTTAACCTGACAGTTCTGATGGAAGTTCTGACATCTCACAATAAAACATGTTGTTTATTTGTTGTTTATGTAGAATATAAATACAAGTGTGACTGGTCATTTTATTCAGTTTTGACCACTGATTCATGTGATATATATTTTGTTTATATTTATTACACAACATTGTCCAGTTTATGACACAAGTTTTGATGTCTGTTATATGTTGATATTACAGAGAGGAATGACACCATTAATATTGGCTGCCAGGGGAGGACACCTGGAGGTGGTGACGTACCTGGTCACTCACGGCAGTCAGTTAGAAGTCACAGACGAGGTAATGATAGATATAATCTACTTACTCTGACAAAACTTCACTTTATACAGAATCTACACAAAATCATGTTGTTAATCAGACAGGTTTAATGGACAACAAATATTTGTTAGAATTATATAAAGTGGGGTCTCATTTTATTCGTAACACAGAACTGAATCAGATAGTAAAGGTTTTATTTTGTTTCTTGATGAAAAATTATTTTGTAAACATCTGATTTTAATGAGAAGTTAATGAGAAAAAGTTGTGTTAACATCTTTAGTCAGATAATATTAATTCTACAGATCTAATGTAAAACATCTTTTAAAAATAACAAATACTTGACAGAATTATATAAAGTGGGGTCTTATTTTTCTTGTCTTGTCGTACTGAATCAGAAAATATAACTCGTTTTATTGTTTCTTGAAATTTTTTTTTTTTTTAACTTTGATCATTCTTCAGAATCAACATAAAATCATATCATTAATCGGACAGTTTAATGGACAACAAATACTTGTTAGAATTATATAAAGTGGGGTCTCATTTTAATTGTCTTGTCCAGCTGAGTCCATTGATATAAATATTGTTTACATTTCTTGAAAAAAGTTATTTTTTTAACCTGACAGTTCTGATGGAAGTTCTGACATCTCACAATAAAACATGTTGTTTATTTGTTGTTTATGTAGAATATAAATACAAGTGTGACTGGTCATTTTATTCAGTTTTGACCACTGATTCATGTGATATATATTTTGTTTATATTTATTACACAACATTGTCCAGTTTATGACACAAGTTTTGATGTCTGTTATATGTTGATATTACAGGATGGAATGACACCATTAATGTTGGCTGCCTGGGGAGGACACCTGGAGGTGGTGACGTACCTGGCCACTCACGGCAGTCAGTTAGATGTCACAGACGAGGTAATGATAGATATAATCTACTTACTCTGACAAAACTTCACTTTATACAGAATCTACACAAAATCATGTTGTTAATCAGACAGGTTTAATGGACAACAAATATTTGTTAGAATTATATAAAGTGGGGTCTCATTTTATTCGTAACACAGAACTGAATCAGATAGTAAAGGTTTTATTTTGTTGCTTGACGAAAAAATTATTTTGTAAACATCTGATTTTAATGAGAAGTTAAAGAGAAAAAGTTGTGTTAACATCTTTAGTCAGATAATGTTAATTCTACAGATCTAATGTAAAACATCTTTTAAAAAATAATAAATATTTGACAGAATTATATAAAGTGGGGTCTCATTTTTCTTGTCTCTTCGTACTGAATCAGAAAATATAACTCATTTTAATGTTTCTTGAAAAAAGTTTTTTTTTTCTATTTGATTATTCTACTTAATCAACGTTAATCAGACAGGTTCGATGGACAACAAATACTTGACAGAATTATATAAAGTGGGGTCTTATTTTTCTTGTCTCTTTGCTCTGAATCAGAAAATATTACTTGTTTTAATGTTTCTTAAAAAAAAGTTTTTTTTCAACTTTGATCATTCTACAGAATCAACACAAAATCATGTTAATTAAAAATGTAAAATGGACAACAAATATTTGTTAGACTTATATAAAGTGAGGTTTGCTATTATTTATCTTGTTACACTTATATAATTAAGAGTTTACTATTTTAACCTGTTTTGTTTCACTGAATCAGAAAATATATATTTAGTTTATATATCTTAATCTACCATTTAGCTGTTTATACACAAGTATAATTGTTTATTTTCTTACCTGATGTTATATTTCTTACTTTTTGGTAAATTGTTTGACTCCTCTCTTGATTTATTATCATACAACATTAACATGTTTATATTTTTATATTGTTATAGTTTGGACAAACAGCTTTACATCATGCTGCTCATTATGGACAGATTGATACAACAAAATGGTTAATAGATCAGGGATGCAGTCCTTGGGTGAAAACAAAACAGGTAACATTCAGTTTTATTCTTATTAGATAGATAGATACCTTATTCTCTAAAAACTAAATACAAGTCAACAGAGAAAGTAGAATTACTATATAAATACAAATACAATAGTTGAGGGTTAACAGATGCAGTACGATAATGTAAAATGAAGTACAACTTTATGATGACATACCTGTATAATCAACGGTTAAACTAAATATGAAGAATCAGTCTGGTGCTTTACATTTACATGGAGGGACTAACCTTTGTATTAATATATTTAGTGAATAAAAACAGTTTTCTTAAAACTGATTATTTTTTTTTATTCACTATATTAACAAAAAATGTCTACATTCTAAATTCATATATAGAACAAAAATTCACTTGATATGATGTGACCCAAGTATTTAACATGGTGTAGGGATTTTTTTTTTTACTTATTTTTATTATTCTTCTTCCACACATTTTGTCCGTCGTGTTTCTCGGAATTTAATGGACCAATGTTGATGGAACTTTACTATAATGAGGACCCCCAAGTTGTGCACCTTGGTATGGAATGGTCCAAGATGGCCGCCGTTTCCATGGAAACAGCAAAAATGCGAAAAAAATCAAAGTGTACCAAATGGAAAGAAACTTCACAGAAATGGTAACTGGCATGTGCTGATTTGCAGTTTGACTTTGGAATTTCAAAATGGCCGCCGTTACCATGGAAACTGCAAAAATTTCAAAAATTTCAAAATGCTTCAAACTTATTGAGACTTTACAAAAATGTTAATCAGCATGTGTAAATGCACTCTTTGACTTTGGAATTTTCAAAATGGCTGCCGTTACCCTGGCAATGGAGGAAGGGTGCCATCCGTTATTGCTAGCAATTACAAATCTAGTTATTTTTCTTCCACACATTTTGCCCGCACGATTTATTTCTCGAAATCTATTAAATGGACCAATGTTGATGGAACTCTACTATATTGAGGACCCCATGTCATGGAAACAGGGCGAAAGTTTAACATTGAGCCTATGGAAAAATACATAAAAGCTACATTTTCTTAAAGAATATTACGAAGAGATCAATGAAACTGTATTGATATGTAACATGGCATGTGCCAATGTGGCATCTGCTTTTGGAATTTTAGAAATATCTATCGTTACCATGGAAACATAAAAAAATTCAAAAAATTTGAAATGCTTCAAACTTTTTGAAATTTACAGTAATGATAACTGGCATATGTAGATAAGATATTCCACTTTGGAATTTCCAAAATGGCCACCGTTACCATGGAAACAGCAAATATTTCAAAAATTTCAAAATCCTCAAAACTTAATGAAACTTTACAAAAATGATAATTTGCATGTGTAGATGTGCTCTTTGACTTTGGAATTTTCGAAATGGCTGCCGATCGCCTGGCAATGGGGGAAGGGTACCATCTGTTATTGCTAGCAATTACAAATCTAGTTCTTCTTCTTCTTCCTCCTCCTTTTCTTCCTCTTCCGCGTCTTTTAAATTTGAACTTGTCCGCACCCGTTCTCCAAAACCGCTTGTCAGATTAACTTAGGGTTTCACAATATGTTAGACTAACATGTCTAGTGGTGCAATCAGGGTTTTGTTTGTGCAATGGGGTTTATAAAGGGGTACTTTGAGGGGCAAAAAGAAAGGAGAGTTTTACTATAGAACCCTATGGGATTTTATTTTTTTAGATTTTCAAATAATTATAAATTGAAAACTGTTTGTGATAGACACAATCTTTCTAATTGAAAATGTTCTAAATGATAAAGCACATTAAATGAATTACAGGGTTAGTCCCCAGGGGTCACCCCGACCCCCTGCCATTTAATAAAGTTCTAATATCTTGTAAATAGTCGAGATCCCCACCCCTAAACCATACATATTCTGGTTTGTCATGATAAAGCACATCAAATGAAATACTGGGTTAGTCCCCAGGGGTCACCCCCACCCCCCACCCCCAATGTTCTAATATCTTGTAAATGGTCGAGATCCCCACCTCTAAACCATATATATTCCTGTTCGTCATGTCTCGAACATTTGAATGACATATAGGGTCCGTCCCCAGGGGTTCCCCCTCCCCAATGTTCTAATATCTTGTAAATGGTCGAGATCCCCACCCCTAAACCATATATATTCCTGTTCGTCATGTCTCGAACATTTGAATGATGTATAGGGTCAGTCCCCAGGGGTTCCCCCCCACCCCCACCCCCAATGTTCTAATATCTTGTAAATGGTCGGGATCCTCACCCCTAAACCGTATATATTCCTGTTCGTCATGTCTCGAACATTTGATTGACGTATAGGTTCAGTCCCCAGGGGTTCCCCCCACCCCCAATGTTCTAGTATCTTGTAAATGGTCAAGATCCTCACCCCTAAACCATATATATTCTGGTTTGTCATGCCAAGATGATTTGAATGATATACAGGGTTAGTCCCCAGGCATCACTAATGCATATAACTTTACTGGACCAAACTCATTTTCACTGGACTTTGCCCAATGTCAGGCGACCCTTGGAATTACGAATTATGGGAGCTTCGTTTGGGAGACTTCGTTACAGCATCCTGTTACAATCATTTCTTGTTCTTTATAGACGCCATGCCATTTTTAAATGACGCCATGCCCTTTTTTTGTCTTAATAAATGACGCCAAGCCCTTTTTTCACTTCTTTGGATGACGCCATTGTCTCGATAATGCCCTAAATAGAAGCCTTTATAAAAATAAAATTTCAAAATTTCACGCCCATCTGCATTTCCGTTAAAATTGTTACCTGATTGTTTAACACTCTAATTAACTGACAATGGGATCAAGTTAAATACCTTGCCTTTGGCAGTTTTATAACCTCTGTTGATGATTGTTTACTGCTAATTAGGGGATTTAAGATATAATTAAACAAACACTAGATATTTAATACAGATACAGAATGAAAATGTCCACATGTTATCCATTTGTTTATGTACAGCATGTACACCAGAAAAACTTTATTTAAGTAGGCATAAAATTAAAATGAATTGTGAAACAATTATAAAGGTATACATAGTTTTGACTAAATTGGTAAACGAAGTGTTTTGTTTCATAACCCTGAGTATGGTCAGTTTGAAATTTAAAGAAATTCGTACTTTGAACATAGACACTTCCTGTTTTACTTCTTGTATTTATAATCCTCCTTATATAGGAGCTCCAAACAAATGCCTTTATTTTTATACGACCGCAAAAATTAAAAATTTTTTGGTCGTATATTGGTATGACGTTGCCGTCGTCGTCGTCGTCGTCGTCTGGCGTCGTCCGGCTTCGTCCGAAGACACATTGGTTTTCGCACTCTAACTTTAGTTAAAGTGAATGGATCTCCATGAAATTTAACCATAAGGTTCAATACCACGAAAGGAAGGCTGGGATTGATTTTGGGGGTTATGGTACCAACAGTTAAGGAATTAGGGGCCAAAAAGGGGCCAAAAATAAGCATTTTTGTAACTTCCAGACAATAACTTGTGTGTAAGTGTATGGATCTCTCTGACATTGTACCACAAGGTTCCATATCACAAAGGGAAGGCTGTAATTGATTTTGGGGGTAATTGCCTCAAAATTTTAGGAATATGGGGCCAAAAAAGGGGCAAAAAACAAGCATTTTTCTAGTTTCATGACAATAACGTGTGTGTAAGTGTTTGGATATTTCTGAAATTGTACTACAAGGTTCCATATCACAAAGGGAAAGCTGGAATTGAGTTTGGGGGTAATTGCCCGAAACGTTTAGGAATTGGGGGCCAAAAAGGGGCCAAAAAACACATTTTTCTAGTTTCCAGACAATAACTTGTGTTCAAGTGTATGGATCTCTCTGAAATTGTACTGCAAGGTACCATACCACAAAGGGAAGGCTGGGATTGAGTTTGGGGGTGATGAATAATAAGGGGGTTCAAAAAATTTGGGGGGGGGGGGATTCTTTTTTTTTCTTTTTTTCCTTTTTTTTTTCTTTTAAAATTTTCCATTTTAAGTTGGTTATTTCTGATTAATATTTAAAAGCAAATAATAATGATATTGGCAAACAAAATGTGTAAATTATTATATAATAAGTATTGTGCAATAGCAAGAAATTTTCAATTGCACAGTATTGCACAATAGCAAGAAATCTTCAATTGCACAGTATTGCGCAACAGCAAGAAATCTTCAATTGCACAGTATTGCGCAATAGCAAGAAATATCCAATAGCACAATATTGCGCAATAGCAAGAAATTGTCAATTGTACAGTATTGCGCAATAGCAAGAAATATTCAATTGCACAGTATTGTGCAAAAGAAGATACTTTGTATAAATTGCTTATTTCTTGATCAATTTCAATGGGGTTTTATTCTTGAATTCTTGGGGTTCTATAATATGCTGAATCTAACCGTGTATTAAGTTTTTGGATTTTGGGCCCCGTTTTTAAATTGGTCCACATTTAGGTCCTAAGGGTCCAAAATTTAACTTTGTTTGATTTCATCAAAAATTGAATTATTGGGGTTCTTTGATATGCCGAATCTAACCGTGTATTTAGATTCTTAATTTTTGGTTCCGTTTTGAAATTGGTCTACATTAAGGTCCAAAGGGTCCAAAATTAAACTTCGTTTGATTTTAACAAAAATTGAATTTTTAGGGTTCTTTGATATGCTGAATCTAAACATGTATTTAGATTTTTGATTATGGGCCCAGTTTTCAAGTTGGTCCAAATCGGGGTCCAAAATTAAACTTTGTTTGATTTCAACAAAAATTGAATATATGGGGTTCTTTGATATGCTGAATCTAACCATGTATTTAGATTTTTTATTTTTGGGCCCCGTTATCAACTTTGTCCACATTGAGGTCAAAAGGGTCCAAAATTAAACTTTGTTTGATTTCATCAAAAATTGAATTCTTGGGGTTCTTTGATATGCTGAATCTAACCATGTATTTAGATTTTGGATATTGGACCATAATAGGTGAATGTCCAATTTAAAATTTTTAAGTTCTTAGACCACATTCATTCTGTGTCAGAAACCTATGCTGTGTCA